CACCGGATTCCTGGCCCGAGCTGGAGAATCCTCTCTAGAGCTTGCGAGCCATATCACCGCTAGATTTGGGATCAGGAACACAGCGGTGATTGTGATCATTACTATCTTTCTTGGCTATAATATCATCAGAGTAAGTCTTACGCTTTCCAAAGTGGGCTATCTCTAACCAGGCTGCAGCGGATCCAAGTGGCCTACTTCTCGCCGTTAAGCCGCATTCCGGGACCATGGCATGCACACCTGACTGGCCTCAACCTCAAGCTGAACATTCTGCGAGGGAATCGAGTTAATTATGTACATGCACTGCACGTAAAATACGGCCCATACGTTCGGGTCGCCCACAATGAGGTCGTAACATGCGATCCCGCCGCCGCGAAGGACATCCACGCAGTTGGCACACGTTGGCGCAAGTGTGTTCCCCAACAAACTACTCCAAATATCTTCAGCATTGCAGATCCAAAAAAGCATAACATCCGGCAGCGGTTCTATCACATAGCCTTCAGCCAGGCGGGCTTAAGGGAGAGAATGGAACCAAAAGTATTGGACCTGGCATTGGAGGCGGCAAAAGGAATCAAAAAAGACGCTGAGAGTAATGGTGGCCTTGTCAACGTGCATGAGTGGTTCATGCTCTTTGGCAACGACGTGATGTGCATATTGACGTTTGGTGAAGGCTTTGGGTTAATCCGGCAGGGCAAGAGACTAGAAGATGTTGTGACGCCGGTATATGTCCACCAGATGATTGGCTGGATAGAGCTCTCTCTCCCCATTTTCTTGTTTGGTCGATTCGTTCTATCACGCTTTTCAGCACGTGCGCAAAGGATCTTCTGCGCAGATGTGAAACTTAATCCTACCAAGAATGAAACCGTGGCACAATTGAATATGAGGCCGAAGAATGAAGAAGGACGAACAGTGTTTGCGCAGGCCATTGAGGATGCCAAGGGAGACGAATTGCTTAAAAGCCACGGTAAGACACGCTTGACTGATGACGAGATCGCAGCGGACGCATTAGGCTTTCGATTAGCTGGATCGGAACCCGCCAGTGTCACCCTGACGTATTTGATATGGTGTGTCCTGAAGCGTCCAGAGGTGCAAAAGTTAGTGGAGGAAGAAGTCGCAGACGTTGAAATTACGGATGAGGCCACCGAGAAGCTACCGATCCTCAGTGCTGTGATCCTAGAGACGCTGCGCCTATGGGGCGGAAACGCAACGGCTATGAGAAGGAGGGAGGATGAGACCGCAGAGGGGACGGTTCTCGGCGGATACCGCATCCCCAAAGGAACGACAGTATCAACGCAAGCATATTCGTTACACCGCAATCCAGATGTATGGGAAGACGCTTACAGGTAAGGCAGTACAAGTATCCGCTGACGGTCAAAGTACTGATAACTTGCCAGGTTCGACCACACGAGATGGCTAGACCCGTCCCAAAGCCACGCCCTTGCGCAAGATCGCTTCCAGCCGTTCAATGTAGGCACCCGTATGTGCGCTGCATATCATCTTGCTATGATGGAGATACGTCTCATGGCTACCGTGTTCTTCAAGACTTTCCCTGGAGCAAAATTGGCTCCATCTGTAACCGATGAAAGCATGGAGATGATAGATCGATTCAACCTAATTCCTAAATATCACCGTTGTGAGATTATTGTAAAACCTTAAAAGAGCTTTATTAGTATATATAACTCTTAGAATAAAGTTTTAGAAATAAAGAGTTTATAAGATAAACATAAGGAAGTATGTAATTAATTATAAGTACATAATAAGTAGTTATTTCAGAAACTGTCGTACCGACTACTTGTAACAGCAAATCAACCGGCCTGAATTTGGAGTCAATAAGATCGGTAGTAGAAAGTACGGGCCTCCTGATTCTCTATCCATATTGTTCATCACTACTAGGGAGATCATAGCTGTGGTGGCAAACTAGAATTGTAGCTAATTATGAGTTCAAATAGTGTTGCGAGCCTCCGTGTCGGCCCTCTCCATAGCCACTCGGTCCTTATACCCCTTGTCTTCCGCGAATAAAGTATTATCTATCTTCGATAGTGAAGGGCACACAGAGCAAGTTTGGCCAAGATACGGATATAGAAACATCTAAGCAATTCTGAGTATATTTCCAGATAGCCCTACGCGGTAGACAATATAATCTAGGAATAGATATCCCAGAGTCGATCTATCTTAATTTGAATGCTGTTACAATTTATTGTTGTTACAAACCAAGTAATGTGACTCGTGATGATTATCTAATGGGTTATGGGGGTATTCAGTGGGACAGTTGGGCGGGATATGAAAATGGTGTTGCTAGTAGTACCACATTAATACGGAAACGATAGAACAAGTAATCAATTGTACTAATGATCGGATCATACTATACAAGTATTAGTATGAACAAAAGGATGAGATTATGGCTACGGTTCATGGCCTAATAGCTATCCGTGTAGAATCGAATATATGCAATCCTATTTAGAGCAAGCATTCCAACCCTATTGGCTAGAAAAATAATCTGTGGGGTAGAAAGAAGGGAAGTAAGGAGACCCTGCTCTTACTACTATATATAGAATCAGGTCGTTATAGCCGAGCCTATCCGGAATTGTATCCACCAAGCTCAGTTTCTACACTGTTGATTGCTAGTCCCCAGTCTCGTAGGGTCTCTATTGAAGCTGTCCCCTATGGCCTAAGGCCTAGAGATCGCTCGGCCAGCGGGCGTGGATAGTAAAGGAATGCAGGTCCTGAGCAACTGGCTATTATTCTCATCCTTATCAGGGACGGGCCCAAACCGTTTTCCATAGCGGGCTCACCTACGCAAAATCGTGCGAATGGATCAGGAGCACATTGTCCGAAGTAGTTGACCCTTGGAAAGAGCGCCCTTGAACCCAGTAATGATGAGGCAAGATCTACAAGACGGTATAGACGGTCAAGCGACGGGGCTGAGTCTCCGGTGCCCGGACTCCGTCCTGCAAATGCATACAACATACAGGCACGAACTAGATCCAGGTTTTATGGCCAGGTACAGGATTATAAGACGTATGAGTAGGCAAGTAGAGGAAGGTTCCATTTGCGTATCCAGCTTTCTGCTGCCTTCTCGCAACCTATATTTTGGGCGTCGTACCTATTTCTCACATCGTTTCCACCTTTTATCGTAGCCCTTACCCTAGGAATGAGAGAAATGGGGGACATCAGTGACCCTATTCTCAAGTCCATTAGTGAGACTAAGGCCAAATATGTACGTCTAGGCAAGAGTGGCCTCTATGTCTCCGTTCCCATCCTGGGCGCCATGGCATTTGGCAGTAAAGACTACCAACCTTGGGTGCTTGACGAGGAAGAATCCCTTCCAATCTTGAAGGCGGCGTACGATCGCGGGGTCAACACTTGGAACACCGCGAACGTGTATAGCAACGGGGTCAGCGAGGAGATCATTGGCAAGGTATGCCTGAACGAAGCCGTCTTATATCGATAGTGCGGGCTTGTTATAGATATTGCAGTCCTAAAACTGATTTTTTGCAGACTATCAAAAAGTATCAAATCCCACGAGAGAAGCTAGTTATCTTGACCAAGTGCTTTAACTGGGTCGGTGACTCGCCTAGCTCCAAAGCATGGATGCATAGGCACAAGTGTAGAGAGAGCAAAGATCTTGTGAACCAAGGGGGCCTCTCGCGGAAGGCTATATTCTCGGCCGTGAATGCTAGCTTAAAGCGCATGGATATCGAATATATCGACCTATTCCAAATCCACCGCTTTGACCCTTACACGCCAATAGAGGAGACTATGGAAGCACTGCATGATCTTGTGAAGGCTGGAAAAGTACGCTATATCGGGGCCTCCAGCATGTGGGTGAGTAAACTAAAAGGATAGAATATTTATATCACAATCCGAGCTCAAGCGAAGCTACTCCGTATACCATGAAGCACTAAGCGGTGCCACAGAGGTTCAGAAACTTACTAATACTGCTCTTTTATACTAGACATATCAGTTCGCAATGATGCAGTTTTGCGCGGAGAAGAATGGCTGGACGAAATTTATTAGTATGCAGAATCATTATAATCTACTTTACCGAGAGGAAGAGCGAGAAATGAACAAGTTCTGCAAGGAGACAGGAGTTGGCCTTATTCCATGGTCTCCGCTATGCAGAGGGCACCTCGCAAGGCCTGTTCCATCACCGACCGAACTCACTGCACGAGGGCTGGAAGAGAAGAAGATGGTGCATATTTTGTCCTCTGGACATACCGAAACCGATCATGCTATTATCGGCCGCGTACAGGAACTGGCTGAAAAGAGGGGATGGACGATGACTGCTGTCGCATTAGCATGGATTAATAAGAGAGTGTCAAGCCCGGTTGTAGGGTGCAACAGCATCGTGAGGATAGATGATGCACTAGCCGCCCGGGATAAAGAGTTGACAGAGGAGGAGGAGAAGTATCTCGAAGAGCCGTACGTGACTAGGGACATTATAGGACATTACTAGGTTACAACATGGGGAAATAGCGCATGAATTAGATGATAGCCTGCTCGAGCGATCAGTCAGTTACTTTAGCATATTATATTTTGGCATCTCTTTGGATCTGTGATAGGGCATCGTTACCTGGATAACACTCTTGTGTGTGTTCTATCATCCTCTCTGGGGCTAGATCGCTATTGCTTGATCCGAGGTGCTAGGAAGAGGACTCGGGTGTTACTCGGAAGTAAAATAGGGAATTTATTTAAGCTGGAAAACATGAGATTATCATGCACCAATCTTGACGTGAAGGAAAAGTGTTCTTGTGCAGAAAGGCGAGCGGAGCTGCTTGGCAATTTTGAGTGAACAAGAGCAAGTGGAATGTGAGACGATAAGGGACGCAAAGCGACTTGTTTTTGATCCTCGGTTGGTCTGGTGGGGTCTGCTTTTGGAAAGAGGCCCCTTTCGGATCCCTTTCTGTTGGGAATAGCGGAAGGCTCCCATGACCAAAGAGATCGTAAATGGTCCACAATTCAGTTATATTAATAAACTAAGATAAGAAAGGGTGGCTATCCACGCTCCTTTGGCGCAATGGCAGCGCGTAAGTCTACCAGTAAAACCAAGTTCTTATTTAAACATTTAACTAAAATCTTCGTAGGCAAGACTTCTAATCTTGAGGCTGCGAGTTCGAGTCTCGCAAGGAGTGCTCTTTGTTCCTTTTTTTTTTTCCCTTGTCAATATATAATAATCGTCAGGCTTCAGCCACACGTATTGCCTAAATTTCTCGCATTCGCTTAAAGTGGAGTCGCAGTTGAACGCGGGTTATAATTTTCTCAGCGCGGGTACGTGGTGTGGCGCGACGTGACCTCATCAGGGGTAAAAATTTCCAAGCTCATTGATTTTGTGTGAAAACCAAATAGAAATTCAATGACACCTAATTTTCAACTTTGAATTATCAAAACACTATCTTATATTTTAATGTATATAATTATAAATAATACATAAATTTTAATAGGTTAACCTTTTTAAATTTGGAATATCGATTCTCTGATATATATATCCACCGAGTAAGAGAAACTGCTCCTTAAGTTATGCGTTTGCATGCATTCATGTATAGCTTTAACTCCTAAGAATATAATCCTTTATATTGCACTGTAATTCTCCCTCCTGTCTCTGCGAAGGTAGCCGCTTATGCGCCCATCGCACTGATTTCGCAACAGTGGTGATCTTGGACCAAGGCTCGGATTCCGCTGACCGACGACACATATATGTACATTTGCGAAAAATCCGAAAGTCCGCGAAATCTGATCTGGGCCTCAATGTTATGCATACGACGCTAGCAACCTTTGTGTTTGAAGGTATACGGAATATAAAGAGATCTTTGTAGGCGCGCTTTTTGTGTGGGCTCTCCCAGCCCTCCTCCAGTCTCGCCTATTTATTCTCCTCTAGCAATGGCCACAGCAAACCATATTAGCAAGATTGCCATCGTTGGCGTGAGTGACCCGATCTTATGCCCACTCTCTCCTGTATCTCCTTGGCTGACTCACTGGCACAGTCGAGCGGCAATGTTGGCCGCTACATGACCGAAGCCCTGCTCAAGACGGGCAGGCACACTGTCACAGCCATCACTCGGCCGGAAACTAAGGGCACATTTCCTCAAGGTGTTGTCGTGAAGGAGGTCGATTACAGCAAGCCGGAGACACTGGTCGAGGCCCTCCGCGGCCAAGAGGCGCTCGTCATCACCATCAGCGGTCATGCTCCAATTCGAGAGATTGAAGAGAAGCTGATCAGAGCTGCCGGAGAGGCGGGCGTGCCTTGGATGTAAGTCTAGCGATGATTGCCGTCGCTGCGTTGTACATCCACTGATTCTCGCCTTCGCTATCGACAGTCTACCTAATGAATGGTCCCCAGACTCTGCACACGAGGGGATAGTAAACGACGTTTTTATCTTTAAGTCGAAGGGTGAGTGCAATCGCACTGGATATGCATATTAATCATAAACGCTGACCACGAAGGGTCTTGTGGTTGTAGTGGCTGCTCGCAAGCTGATCGAAGAAATCGGGAAGAGCTCGTACATCGCTGTTGCAACTGGCTTCTGGTACGAGTATAGTTTGTCCATTCCGAGTAACTACGGCTTCAACTTCGCCAACCGCACCGTCAGATTTTACGACGACGGTGAGATCAAAATCTCGACCTCGACATGGCCACAGGTTGGCCGTGCCGTCGCCGGGCTTCTCAGTCTCCCAATCACGCCTGAAGGCCCGAATACAGAAGCCTGCCTTGAGAGTCTCAGAAACAAGGTTGTTTATGTTAACTCCTTCACTATCAATCAGAAAGATATGCTAGCATCTGTTCTTCGTCAGACAGAGACCAAGGAAGAGGACTGGACGATTACAAAGGTGCCAGCTCAAGAGCTCCATTCAACAAGTAGTAAGCAGATTGCGGAGGGTAAGAAAGATGCTTATGCCAGCTACTTATACTCTCGAATCTTCTTTCCCGATGGCAGCGGTGACTTTGAGCATAAGGGGACGTTAAATAGCATGCTAAACTTACCGAAGGAGGATATTGACGAAGCAACTAATAATGCGATCAAGCGCCAGTTAGGCCTACAGGAGAAGGAGATTAACGAAACAACAAATGTTACGATGAAGCGCCAGATGGCTCAAGCAACCGAAGGACATTGATGGAGCGATTAACGGCGTTATTATGCGGTTCCCTGCCATTTGCTTATTTAGGTATAGAAGTGTTTATAACTGATTATATGGTAGAAGTAATGAGTTCTCCTATATTAAGGTTTTAACTTAATGTAAAGCTTTTATATAATTAAGGTAAGTTATGTTAGTCAATTTCGAAATTGTTGAGTTCTCCAATCAAATGCGACCGTCCCTTGTTGGTGGCTTGCACAACTATGGGTGCACATACATAAAAAACGCGCCCCAGGTGAGCCATTTTCACCAGCCAAGAAGGGGATAGGTTAATATTTCTCATTCACCAATGGGTATATTGGCGTATGGGCTAGAACAGATATTTCTGCCTATATCTTTCCCTATAATAGCCCTATATGTACATGAAGCGCCACTGCCTACTACTAACTAAATCTTCCGGAGCGCCCAGATATGTATCAAATTCTTTAATCCTATAGGATCATTTTGACTTGTTTTCTAAAGCCTCTTACGATTCGCCTTAGTTGTCTCTGCTATACTTAATAGTTAATATACTCTGAGTGTTACCTTGATTCACGATTATAACGTGTGTATTACCTAACCTCTGCTCAAGATGAAATACACTTAAAATAAGTTATACGTATTTAGACAAAGGAGGGATAGTACTCTTCACATTAATATAAGAAGACTGAATTTCGAAAGAAGAGACCTCAGGCTTTTGCGCCCAGATCATCCTGCTTAATTGTTGAAGTAGGATAGTGTGGTTACACCCTCGAACAGCCGCTGCGTGCTATTAATATCGAGTACCCACCGGTGACACTACGATCAAGAGCCTGGTTGAGTCTGGTTGGGTTCCCAAGGCAGCCCATAACAGTTAGACTGTTATGCGCGCACACCCAGCTCGGACTGCGGACGCCGTGGACCTCTCATCCAGGAGTGAGGGAGCCCATCATGCTCCTGATTCATACGGCCGGGCATGTCATGTAGAAATGATGCTAGGAGTTCTGTCATTATAGGCCTTATTCAATCTGAATCGACGCTAGCCCCTTTTGTGCGGAACATTTGGAATCATCAAAAAGCGCCCGGCCTTGATGAGCCGGCCTTTCGTTGTTGATGTGGGTCCGGAAGGTACTCAGGCCCACAAGGCTGACATTACCAGTATACAAGAAGGAGACGTATTGTGCACAGATGTGGCCGAGGTCTGAATCATTGTATTGCCGATATCTTCAATATGAGGACCGAATCGGGCAGACTGCCAACGCTGAATAGACGTGATGTCTTTCAATCTCGGATGATGAAGAGGAGATCGTGCTACATGATGTGGAAGAAGTTAAATGCTCAATCGAAAACGAGATCACGCTCTATGGTTTGAGCAAAGGTAAAGCAGAGTCCTCTTTTATAAACGCTTCCGCCAAAATGAGAGACTATGATATACGTACGAAACGAATATGGACCATGAGGCAAACCAGAAGAAAGCTGACGTGACTCGAAGCCTTCAAGCAATGGCCACATCCACTACTCAGAAGAAGTAGGGGAATAATTCGTGATTGGTGTACAGAGTCGAGTGTTCACAGGGTGAGAGCACAATGAGAGATGTGTGATGCGTAACTTGGTAAGGAATATTTAGTCTTTTTGGTTTTCATGATGTTTTAATCTAGGCAAATCAAAGCGAACAAAATTCTTCTACGTTTCAGACTTGCACAAGCTTTCCATCCTTCACATGCCTTTCAAACCACCCAAATGACATCAGGGTGTTAGGGCCGTCCGCGAAATTGCCATGATCAGGGTTGACAACACTCAGATAATGTGGATCATTCTTCACACTGATGTAATCTTCTACATTGCGGAAGACAATGGTAACGAATGCATCGGAGGGTGATACGTTAACGGAATTCAAATTTGGAAAAAGAAGGTTGATATCCTTCATTAATTCAGATGTATTGTGTTGCTTGAAATAGTTAGCTGTGAGGGAAGATCTACTGCAGTCGATTAGGAACTTACCATGGTGTAATCAACGATTTTTTTCTGTACCAATAGCTCCTTCAAATGTCCTGAATGCGTCTCGCTGATGTACTTGTGATATGCATCTTCATCCATACCAGGTTTGCGTTTGGCGCAAATGGTGATAGAGAATAAGCCTTGGGATTTGCCCATCTTGGAATTTGCTTGTTGGTTTGGTTTAGTGTATCTCAGAATCAGGGCATGCAAAATGTTTTGATCTTGGACTATGGGGCCAATATCTGCTTTGCTTAAATCGCTCAAGGGATGATTCTCTTTGAATACAGTCCCTGCTCCGCCTCGCGCAGAGCGCCGTCAGCCCGTGATGTGAGGTCGGATTCCGACATTCTGAACTGAACTGAATAAGTCGGCACCCGGCATCCATGTTCACCTTGCCCTCAAGCCTACTTGCTCGTAGAGTCTGAAGTTCTGATAGCTAATCAATCTCTTTGGCTCAGCGGACGCCGGGGGCACACACCATGCGTGACTAATACGAGGGATTGGACATAGAGATATCAGAGCACTTAACTATATTCAGGCCTATGCTGTGCTTTTATATGCCTGTCTCTTTCATATCACTTTTCAATACTTTGTCACAGCTTCAATAATCATGGAGCCAGTAGTTTCTTCTGCGCCTTTCATGCCTCCTATAGGCAGCCCTCAACAATGCAATATCCTTCTTTTTGGAGATCTTACAGGCGCGTTCGAAGACGATCTTCGTCAGCTGCTCCATTGCAAGAGCAATGGCTTGTTGCAGTCATTTTTTCACCAGGTCAGCCAGGCATTTCGGCAGGAACTTGCACTATTGCCTAGCCAACAGCAAGAATGGTTTCCACGGTTCACCGATCTTGTAGATCTAATGGCCAATCTTGATGGTATGGTTGGTAGGCATGCCTTGAGATTTGGCCTTCTTTGCGTCTATCAAGTTGGTCGATTAATTAAGTGAGAAGTGCCCCGTTGATTAGAATACCAATGGGCTTCAGGCTAATCATCCGTTCTTTTGTCATTAGCTCTGATTTCTATCCTAATGCTGCTAACTCCTATC